CTTTAAGTTCCTTGAATGCAGTATCAAGATTATCTGTCCATTTTATTTTGTGTGGTGAATTCTTTTTGGTCAAGTCTGCACTACTGGACGAAAAAAGTGCTGAGAATCCCAAATTTTACTGATAAAGTTTGATAATTACTGATACGGTGCTGTTGTTGCTGATAAATACTGATATTTACTGTTATTATTACTGTTGTTGCTGATATTTTTTGTTGTTTCTGATAAATACTGATAATTACTGTTGCCTTTTACTGTTGAGTCTGATAAATACTGATAAATACTGTTGAGGTACTGTCGTTGCTGAGAATTGCTGATAATTACTGTTGAGGTACTGTCGATGCTGAGATTTACTGATAATTACTGTGGTCATTTTTTTTAACCTGGTAATTGGTTTTAAATAAAACAGAGGGCTATAAAAACCTTCAATTATTACTTTCTTTTACTTGAATTATCATGACAAAATTTTCATATTTCTTTAAATGTTCTGCTTGTGACAAAATTACATGACTGTATGTATGTATGCTGATCTCAATTTCTACATTACGTTTGTAAAAATTTTGACAATAATCAAATGAATTATTAATAGAATGAATATATAGAAATAGAATTAATAAAAAAAAATAGCTGCAGAAAAAAATGGAATTTTACTTTTGCATTAGATCTTATTGAAAAATAAACTGTAAATAAAAAGAAAATTATGCTATCTTAAAAAAGATCCATCGCCGCCTTTTCCGACTCCAAGAAAATTATGTAGGGAGATCGGTGATCTTTTTTTTCAATAATAAAAAAGTTCTTAATGGATGGGAAAAAATCGGGATAAAAAAAAGTTTCCTACAGGTTAGAAATGTTGGATTTGTTCCGTTTTCACTAGGTCAACTGGTCGAGTTTGGACAACATTTTGTTTTTGAAGGCCTTTTTTTCTCGAAAACAATTATATTTATCTTGTTAAATGTTCAGTTTTCTGGTCTCTTTTTGTCGAAATATTTGAAAATTTGCTCGAAAATCAGAAATTGTATCCCTAAAAAGTAACCAAGAGGTGAAAACGGGTTTGAATATGTTCAATCTGTGGGCACTGATTTTAATTAATAATTTATTTATTTATTCATTTATTTTAATGTTATGTAGACCTTTGTGGATCGTCCAAGAATTAAACTCATCCACATGTACATATGTACAAGTACACACTGTATGCATGTGCAACCGGCAAATGGGGCGAGCTGATTAAAAATTAGAGGTTAAGAATCCCTAGTGCAAAGGTACATGTGTTTAGTTTGTCTCTTAAAATATAAATACAAAATCATTTTTTATTTAATCAGTTTTGAAATCTCATTAATTTTTTTTTATTTGATTTTATGGAATGGGAAATAAGAACTGAAATGAGACTTAATTTAATATGTTACTACATTTATATTAGTAAATGATCAAATTGATCGATTTTAATTTTGCATGGTAAAAAGTTGAAAGGAAAACACCTTTAAATTGATTTCAATTGATCAGAAATTGGTGATCGACCTGTGATTTCGCTGTATTGTGTACATGTCTTCAGCCCCGGGGTAGAACGGGGTACAACTTGTATATTCCATGCAAATTGTAGTGGTCAGCGTAACAATGGGCACTAATTACCTATTGTTCTTCCTCTGCGGCTACCGGTGTTATCAATAAACAAACTACCTATACACTGTATATGTACTCGCTACTTTGGAACAATATTAAAGTTTATGGTCGCTCGAAAAAAAAAATCCGTAATATTGAATTTGATGACGAATAAAATTGATAGAAAAAATAATTATAATAGAACACTTTGGTACTATAATAAAAAAAAGATATATACATATACATCATATACGTTGTACAGACTTATCTTAATTATTATTTCAATTCTCAAAGATCTATCTTTCTTCAGTATTTAATTTCATTTTTTCGTTTTACGCATATTTCTTCAATCAATCAATCAGTCATTTATTTGAATCTTTTTACCATTTTACATTTGTATACATAGACCACAAAATAAAATGTAGGTGATTTTATACATAACAGTAGGTCTAAAAGGCATGCGTGAATAAGAAACTAAACCAAAAAAATTTGTAGGTTGCTATAAATGCGAAGTAAGGGAATTTAGGCCGGGGAGTATATTTTATTTATCAGATAAAAGAATATCCCGGGGGAGGTGGTCACATGTATTTTCAATTCTGAATCTCTGCTAACGATGGTTTGGGACCGGTAAATACGTAGACGAGAAATTGACTTCACTTTTTAATAAAAAACAAAAAAGTGTGCAAAATATAGAATCATATAGATATAAAGAGAAAGATTGTTTAGTGAAGCACTTTTTTGAAATAATATTAGCATTAATTGTTCACAATTCAGATGCAGGGAAACTCCACTTCGCTTAATCCGAGAAAAAAAAACCTTAAATGTATGGATTTTGAATGTCAGAAACATGACGTTTTGTATCGCACTCATGAATAAATGATCATTATAATTACTTCAGTTATGAATTTTGTATGGTTCATTGCAATTGATTCTCTAAAATAATTTTATTCATGCATATAAAAAATTCGATAAGTATAATATCATAACTTGCATGACTTTTAAAACACATAACTAAAGAACAGACCTTGCCCTATCGCCTATCACTTAATTGTAAACAGTATTTCACCCCCCCCCCCCTTTTTTGTGCTACAATCAAGTAAAATCTTATAAATAAACACCAAGTCTGTACTGTTCGTTTATACAAAGGTCTCGGACAAAAATGCAATTAAAAAAAAAATTATAATCTCTGCACAAAATTCTTATTTTACAAAAACGCAAGTCGTAACGATATCCCTATGGCAGAATGTACTAATAATTGACCCGATTCTAAAACGAAAGTAGAACTTTTACACGTGGTTGACATGTATGTTCCAGAACAACAAGCACAAAGTTTGCATTAATGGAAAAAGTTAATTCAAGTTATGATTTTTTAACTGACTGACCGCAAATAACATGTTTAAGGAGTGGCACATAATATTAGAAGCCATATGCCCATAGACTTAAAACTGTATACAATGAAAAAAGAATTAGCCTAGAGAAAGACGTGTATTTCATTGACTGAAAATCACACTGCATAAGATTTATGTCATGTAGTGTACAATACTTAAGCCTTAACAAATAATTTAAGAGAGAGAGAGAGAGAGAAAGCTAGAAAGCGACAGAATGATATAAAATTCGCAGGGAGGACATCGGAGAACTAGAGCGCGGTGTCTACATAATATATATAAAAAATAATTAAAGATGCTTTAATTTATTTATTTAACCCTGTCACATTCTTCTATAAAATAACAAACTGTACGCTTCAAGACTAGATTTTAGGACAAATATTTAATACTCTCTTGTTAAAATGAGAGCTTAATTTAAAAGTAAATGGAAAGGGGGGGGGGTGTTTTCCACTTAATGTGCTCATGCATTTTCAGTTCTCCACACGGTAAAATAAATTGATATTTACAACCATTGACTGTATTGAAGTATTAAAGATACCCAAAAAAAACCTTTCATGACAGTACACATACATGTGAGAAAAAATATGAGATGAGATATTTTTAACCTTTATGAACAAAAATTAAACTTTTTAAAAAAGTACTTGGGAAGAAAAACCACTGCAAATACAACAGAATAATTTTCCTCAGATAATGACATCTACGTGTAAGGAGAAATTTAAAGAAAAAAAACATAAACATTCATGAAAGCTTATGTTAACATTATGGTCTAAAAATAATTATAATGAAATTAATAGCTGAAAACTGAAAACAAATTAATAAAACGTGACTTTTTTATTTAGAATAATTTATTTTGTAATTGACTGTAATGAATTTGTCAAAATACTTTATTTAAAAAAAAACAAATAATCATTTCTCAGGCTATTTTAATCCATTCCCAGGTTAAAAACAATGACCACAGTAATTATCAGTAAATCTCAGCATCGACAGTACCTCAACAGTAATTATCAGTAATTCTCAGCAGCGACAGTACCTCAACAGTATTTATCAGTATTTATCAGACTCCACAGTAAAAGACGACAGTAATTATCAGTATTTATCAGCAACAACTAAAATTATCAGCAACAACAGTAAAAATAACAGTAAATATCAGTAATTATCAGCAAGAACAGCACCGTATCAGTAATTATCAAACTTTATCAGTAAAATTTGGGATTCTCAGCACTTTTTTCGTCCAGTAGTGCTGTGAGTGGTAAGGCAAGACTAGAAAAATTAGGAATAAACTTCCAGTAAAATCCAATGAGACCCAAAAATGACCTTACCTTCTTTTTGGTATTTGGGACCGGAATGTTTTGAATTGCTTGCACCTTTGACAAAAATGGCTTTATCTTACCGTCACCTACCATATGTCCGAGGAAACTGACCTCACCAAACCCCAATTTACACTTTGACGGTCGGGCTGCTAAATTTGCATTCTGCAACGCTGTAAAAATCTCTCTCAAATGTACCAAGTGATCTTCCCAGGAATCGCTGAAAACACCAATGTCATCTATAAAAGCTTCTGCATAATTTTCATGACCTTCAAGGACTTTACTCACCAATCTCACAAAAGTTGCGGGAGCATTTACCATCCCAAATGGCATTACCGTGAAACCGAAATGACCAAAAGGTGTAACAAAAGCACTTTTCTGTTTTGCCTCGTCATCTAGTGGCACTTGCCAATAACCCTTAGTAAGATCCAACTTACTGATATACTTAGCTCTACTGATTTTGTTTAGAATATCATCCATTCTTGGCATCGGACGAGGATCAAACACAGTTACCTTATTAAGATCCCTATAATCAACGCAGAATCTAAGGGTGTCGTCATTCTTTTTGATGAGTACAATAGGCGCTGCGTAAGGGCTTTCCGTCTCCTCTATGATTCCCATCTCTTTCATCTGCTTGATTTCCGCCTTTACCTTTTCCTGTAGCGCATACGGAATGGAATAAGGTTTCTTCTGGATTGGTTCCTCGATTGTCGTTTTAATGGTGTGCTGGTGTTTTCTTTGGAACATCTGTAAATACATTCTCAAATTCTTCTACTAACCTTTTGAGTTGTCGTTTCTGCTCTTCTGACAGTTCTGACGATATCTCAACATTATCTGACGACTCTGTCTGTTGAAGGATTGGTACTCTATGGTTAGTGTAATCGTCATCATCTGAAAAATTTGGTTTTACATCCATACATGCCAAAACTTCACTGCTTTTCGGACACTTCTCTTCCGAATCTCTGCTAAACCACTCTTTCAACATGTTGACATGGTAAACGGGTTCTTTATTCTTGGATATTCTTACCTTGTAATCCACTGGACTTACCTTTTTCACTACTTCATACGGACCTTTCCATTGCGCCATCAGCTTAGATGTGCTAGTTGGAAGAAGTACAAGAACTTTCTGACCTACCTCAAATGTACGACTTCTCGCTTTTTTGTCGTAGTAAATCTTTTGTTTCTTTTTCGCGAGTCTCTCTGAATCTTTAACCAAATCTCTAATGTTCTGCATTCTCTCCCTCGTCTCCAGAATGTAGGACAACACTGAAGCCTGTTCGACTGTAGGTTCCTCCCACTGCTCTTTCAAGATTGCTAAGGGCCCCCTAACATGTCTACCATACAGCGATTCAAAGGGAGAATACCCAGTTGTCTCATTTGGTACCTCTCTGTATGCAAAAAGGACGTAAGGCAAATGAACATCCCATTTGTAAGGTTCAGAAGAAGCATATGCCTTCAGCATTTTCTTCAAAGTCCCATTAAATTTTTCCACTAACCCATTTGCTTGTGGATGGTAAGGGGTAGTTGTTAATTTTCTTACCTGAAGTAACTTACACAATTCAGTCATCAGTGTGGACATAAAATTGGTACCCTGGTCCGACAGAATTTCATTAGGCACACCTACCCTAGAAAACAGCTCTATCAAAGTGTTGGCCACTGTCTCTGCTTCTTGGTTTTTCAAAGAAAATGCTTCCGGATACCGTGTTGAGTAGTCCATACAAATCAAGATGTAACGATTTTTCTTCTCCGTCAAGGGAAGAGGTCCAACAAAATCGATGGCTATTCTTGAGAATGGTTCCTCAATGGGTGGAATAGGAATGAGTGGAGCTTTTGGAGTTCGACCTTTTGGTGTTCCCTTTTGACAAATAGAACAAGATTTGCAGAATCGAGATATGTCAATATACATTCCAGGCCAAAAGAAATGTTGCATAATACGCTGCCTGGTTTTCTTGTTACCTAAATGTCCTGCTAGTGGAGTGTCATGAGCCAGGGACATTACCTTTGACCTCATTGTCTTTGGTATGACGATCTGGGAAAGTTTCTCACCAGAATCTTTCTGAAATATTCTATACAGTAAACCATCCTGTTTCTGAAAGTAAGACTTACCTTCTTGACTATCGTCTTGTGCCATACTCAGTGCAGATTTCAAACTGTCATCTGATTCCTGAAGTTCTACCAACTTCTCTCTGCTGCACCACAATTGTTTCAAAGATTCATCCTCTGAATCCTTTTCTGTTGCTTTTCTCTGAGAACTACTATTACCTTGCTCCAATTTGGCCTGCAAACGTGTCTGAACTGCAGCACAAGTGTTCTCGTCATCTCCATCCCTCTTGACTTCTTTTTCGTCCTCCATTGGTTTAAGTATGCTAACATTATTACCAATAATTACATCAGCAAATGGAGAATCAAGGACAAGGGCATGTACCTTACCTGATACATAAGGAGTCTTCAAATCTACCATTGCCTCATCACAGTTTCTTTGAGATCCATCAGCCAGAGTTATCACTCTTGAACATCCTGTTTTATCAGAGTCTGAAATAAACTTACTACGTACAAATACAGTAGAGCATCCGGTATCTCGTAAGACTGCAACTGGTTGATCACTCACCTGGTCCTTTACTAAATCCAAACCCAATGCTGCCGATGTTTCAATTACTGGCGACTCGTTATCAACTCCGGACAACTTAAGAATCACCCTACCTTTGGTTGTATCTTGTATATTGTCTACAACTTTAGACTCAGACTTATCTAAACACAAACCAACATTTTCTGACCTTTTCTCAGGCTTTGTACCTCTCTGACCTTTACTGTCTTGACCCTTTGACTGAGTTCTCTTAAGAAAACAGTTGGCTGCAATATGTCCTACTCTATCACAAATGAAACACTTTCTGCTATCCCCTGCATTAAAGTGAGACTTGAGATTTGACTTACCATCTTGAGAATTTGTCGAACTAAACTTGTTTGGCTTTCCCGTCGACCTATTCCCTGTACTATGAAATTGGACACTATTGCTACTAAGATACTTACTCTTATGTGCCGCCTGAAATGCATTAGACAACGCAACAACCTCCTCAATAGACTTCGGGTCATGCTCCAGAATCCACAACTGTAAGTCTTTTGGACAACTTCTAACAACCTGTTCTCTCAAGACCATATCATATAACTTGCCAAAATCTGAATCTATTTTCTCACGTTCACACCAGTGATTGAGGTACCTTTCTACCCTAACAACAAAATCTTTAAATGACTCATCATTTGACTGCTTACCCTGACGAAATTTTTCCCTGTAATCTTCAGAAGTAAGCTCATATCTCTTGAGAATAGCTGTTTTGATAATCTCATAGTTATCACTATCTGCATCCGACAACCTTGAATACGCTTCTAAAACCTTACCTGCTAACATAGGAACTAAGCGTATAGCCCACTGGGATTTATGCCATTTCTGCAACCCAGCTATCTTTTCAAACGACCGTAAAAAGACATCAGGGTCCTGTCCCTCCTCAAACTTAGGTAACTTAACAGGTGGGCATTTAATCTCATGAGGTTGAGACCCCCCAATTTTAGCATGTTCTAACTCTTTTTCTCTTATAGCTAACTCTCGTAATTTCACATCTCTTTCTACCTCTAACTTTGCACTTTCTCTCTGGGCCTGACGCTCTTCTCTCTCTTGCGCCCATCTCTCCCTCTCGAGCTCTCTCTTTGATTCCTGCTCCTGACGCCACATCTCGAGACATTCTTTTACGTTTGTACCCTTTTCAATTAAGTCAGCCATCCATTCTGGCATACCAGACATTGTGAAAGTTTGTGAACCTGAAACACAAAAGCAAAATTAATAATAGAAACAAAATTGCAAAAAAAAATATTTCCTCTATTTACCCAAGCTCAGATGTATCCCACCGCTGCCACCAAATTGTTGAGATGTGGGTTATACACTTTAAGAACTTGAATAAATGAAGGAAACAAAACAAAATGAAATTTTAACAAAATTTAATAAACAAAACAAAAGTAAATTGTACAACAAAAAAAAAAACAAATTAAAAAATATAGAAATTAATTGTCTATCAGCAGCACGTCAGTCCTGGAAGAATGTTCTTTAAAACGTCAATTAATCACCACACCGTTGCTGAAGGTTTGAGTTCCGGTTTTTGAATTTCCTCTGATAAACGTGTTTTCTTTCACAAATTAAATTGAATATTATAACTTTCACAAGTATCACATATATCACATAATAAACTTTCACAATGCCGTCTGGATTAACTTTGGTTTGAATTGATATTATTTCAAACAGGAGATTTCATTATTCAAGATAAACACATAACTTTAAATTGCTGGTCCCGATGTGTCCGTCAGGGCTGCCGTACTCTTTCGTACTCTCTCACACAGTTGCCGCTGTTACTGCAAAACCATTACACATTCAGCAAGCCTCTCCCTGTCACCCTGGACTGCGGACTGGCTATTGTCAATGTAATAAGCTGTAGTACCCCGCCCAAGACCTGATAATTACGAAACGGGACAAAAGCCCGAGGAAATAGGACCCTGGGGAAAATATAATAAAACAACCATACTAAACGTGTAGATTCAAACAAGAAAACATATTTTACAAATTGTATTTTCAAATACCTGATGTAGTTTGAGTACCCGCCCAGGCTACTTCATCATAACAACAAGCCAAACAGGTCTTATCTCGGCTGTGACTTCCCGGGTACTACCCGAACACGAGCTCTCAGGTAGATAAAATTACACATTGAGGGGCTCCCCACAGGATAAATAACAATATTTACACGCACGCACTAGGGGTATCCTACGGGATTAAATTTAGTTTGTTACAGCATAAATCTTTCAAAGCTTGGCAAGGACCTATTTTTGTTCCTTTTTCAAAGTGTATACATACACTACTTTCTGCATATATCTGATATCTTATTCAGTGGGTTATTTGCTGTCTTATGAGATTTGTGTAAAATTATCTTGATGTTCTTTTTTGAAATTTTGTTTGATCTTTAATTCGGAATGATTATATTAATTATATCTTCTAAGGATCAAGTTCAATTTTATGTGTCCTTATTTATATCTAATATACACATGACGAGATTGGAGGGTTTTTTGTAAGCTTTGATTCATCGTTTTAAATATAAATTTTAAGCTAATGCAAACCATTTACATCATACAAGACATGAAAGTGGACGTAAGGTAAACAATGTGAAATAAACTGAAACACTAAAGACGGAAAACACGCAAAACATGCACAAGTCCACAACGCATACATCTGCGAGCTTTAAGTTGTGATTGGGTTTAATCAAATAATTCTGATGTTTTTATTTGAAAAAAGTTTAAGTTTTAAAATATTATTTTGATTGAAATCCATGCAATGTATGATCGATTCACCCGTTTTAAGAGGGGTTTATTTTTTCTTTACTTACACCAAGATGTCATATTACGCTGTTCCCTGAATAGCAGATCATTGATTATTTAACCTTATCTAGATTGGTTCTCCAAAAGTGCATTACAGCATTTAGTAAAATAAGTAAATAGTTCGAGTTTGAGATAGTTTTATACAAAAGGTTCCTGTATTTTGAACGTCATTAAGAATATAATATTCACAAACAACAAAAAAAAAATAAAAAAAATTGTTCACCGACATCTTACGAACGTACGTTATTCGCCTTAACTTTCCGTATCTCGATATTTTTCTCGGGAAAAGTGATTGCACCTATATAAAAATTTAAATCGGAATTATAAGTATATATGTAAAATATAATGGAAAATGTTATAAATACATTGTTTTTTTAACATTTCTCATGTCAAATTGTTTTTGTAATCACTTACAATATTATTTTAAAAAAAAGGAAAATTAGAGGAAAATAAAAGTGTGTTTTAAAGAGAGAGAGAGAGATAGTAACTTTTTACATTTAAAATATAACTTTATAGAAATAAACCAGCATTTATATCGTAGAAATATGGTAGACAGTATATCTTCTTGGGTGATGTATTAGATGGCGATGTTCACACAGATTGCTTTGTGCCTTTTTCATTATTTATGTTATATTCTTCTTAAATATTTTTTAAAGAAGCGAGCAGACAAAATAGAACAGTATAAAATTATTAAAATTGGAAATGGACATGTTTTTTTTCCTTTCACTGTCATCTATATTTATTAGCATTATTATTATTAGTGAAAGCACATTTTAATAATGATGGCTATCGTCTTTTAAAGTTGGCACCTTTAAAAACATGCCTGGCGACTAGATTTTTATGATTAGGCGCCAGCTGGCGACTTGGGGTTTTTTGTCACTTAAGGGGGGTCTCTACAACGTCACAGCATGGCGTACGTCTATTGAAACACCATTATGATCCCAAATGATCTGATTCAATTCACACCGAGAAATCATTGAGCATAACACAACATGCGATATTGTGAAAGGAATGTGCATTGTATCACCTAAATCAAATCAGCCCAATAAGTATTCTTTATTTAGAAAGATTGTTTGTAAATTTATTCAATTTGTACTAATTTAATTTAAAAAATATATATTTACAAACTTATAAGAATAAATATGATTTTAAGGTCGGAAAAAATGCATAAAACATATGCTAATTCATCATTACGTGTCAATGTTTTTTTCTTCGTAAACTCCAGGAAAGTATATCCCACAAAAATGCAATTTTGATAAGATTAGGCATATGTATCATCTTCCTAGCGACTAGTAGATACTTGTTCACGATTTGTATACACCCGAATGTGTGGTTATACCCGGTGAAATCGTAAATTCTTAATGAGAATCACCAAAACGTTTCGGCAGTAAGAGGAATTTTGCATGACTCAAACGTTTGATCAACACTGATTATCATCTGTTTGTATGGTAAACGTGCAGCTTTTTAAAGAATTTGGTTACAGGAATTTCTTTTTTTTACGCTTTTTTGGCCATCTACCATGTTTACATGTTATGTTATATCTAACACTGGATAACACATGCAAGTTGGATACAAACGGTAAGTAAATCTACCTTTCTCAATACCATGATGTCACGAAATACATGTCTTTGTCATTGACTAGAAACGTGATGGTTTTCGCTTAAACCCATCTAAAAAACAATAAAATATGGACTTCTTTCAATGTCTTTGCTTGACATCTTTTTTCAATACTTGTGCAAGTTTAAGTAGAGTTTATTTGAAGTATATAGAAAAACATTACCAAGATATTTGAGCCTACTCTTGAAGCAGATCTTTTAAACTCTAATTTTTGTGATGTATTTTGTTCAATTTCATTTTTTTTCATTGTTTTTGACCTTTGATATAATGTATCTTTTCAGAAATTGGAGAAAATCCAACCGGTTATTTTCAAGAAAATGCTGTTTTTCTATTTTTTGTAAATTGAGATTAAAAAAAATGTAGATTTTCTTTTTAACTTTGTTGGTTATTATTTCAATATTTTATAACATTAACTTTGAAGAGAAATTTAAAGCACTGGGCTTTTGAAAATATAGTAAGGAGGGGTTTTAACAAAATAAATTAAAATATTCTTAATATTTAAAAAAAAAGTTAAAATGCTTTGGAACCTTATTTTATCGGATATTGAGTCTATTATTTAAAACAAATGCATGCAACAAAAATCAGTAATGCTTCATAGGTGTAGAGATCTTCCTTAACTGGCTCAAATGCATTTCAGCTGAAGTTGGGGGGCACAACCATATATTTTCAGTTTTATGAAACTGCCACAAAAAGAAGGAAGAAAAAGAAAGAAAAAAAATCATTAACCAGCCAAAGAAAATACTTTTTCAATTGAGGGAGCACAAGCATAAAGTAGCTGTGTTTTCTATCGAGTATTTAAAATATTATTCACTATCATTTTTTTTTGGGGGGGGGGGGGTTCCCTTCCTATGGTCATTTACCAAATCTGTTTATAAACTGTATGTGGATTATCAAAAAGCTGAAAGCAACACATTTTAGTCGTTTGGAGAATGTTTATTACATTTTCTTTGTACTAAAGTTATGTTCCACTATGTCATTATTTGTTAACCATGCATCATTTGACAGAATATGCAATACAAGATACAGGTACAACTTAAAACTTAAACGGCTAGTTTGACCGACCAGAAAGTTTCGCCTGCAGTTCTAGTACAATATTCAAAGTAAAACTATAATCGGAGTTATAACTTGCGTCATACCTTAGGAAAAATATAGTGTCCTGTTGTATAACAAGGAAAGACTGATTCATGTAAACTGACAAAAAGATATGAATATATCTTAAATGTGAACTATTTGAAGACGTCGAATGCATGACACTGTTTCAAGGAGTCGTCAATACATCCTTTAGATGTTCCTGAACACTAACAAACAAATACAACAAAACTCGTTCAGTACGAACACGGATATAAGGAATTAACGGATATAACGAAGTCATCTTGGGTCCCAAGGAATACGGTTATAACGAATTACGTATATAGTGAAATGATTCCGTTGGCCCCAATGACTTCGTAATAACCGAGTTTTGTTGTAAACAAAGGGAGGCGGAAAATCCATTTTCATTGCACAAGGGTACATCTGTAACTTCGACTATTTCTGTTCAGCTAATTGCCTCTGCATTGTAATTTGTAGGAACTAACATTTAGAATTGAATATACACGAGTTTTAATTGCAAAAACATTTTAATATATATCACTTCAGGAATGCCTATTAAATTAATTTGTTATATACCGGTAGATAATATCAGAAGTGATAACTCTTCGTAGTAGCAAAGAAATACTTGTTCGAAATACTATATTCTGCAAAAAATTTAACCTTGATTTAAATTTGATATTGAATACTATTCGTTTCATGATAATATTTTTTTAAAAATGAGCTAAAATTGTTATAAATTATAAATTGACAAAAAATTGCACCTGACATTCACTCTTTGCTCTATCTTTCAGGGATCTACACAATAACAGTATAAGCACAATAGAGGACAATACATTCGTTAATTTGACGAAAATATACGAAATGTAAGTTCATTATTCCATCAAATTCGCAATATCAATCCTTCAAACAGTTATCCTATGTATAGATTCGGTCAATGATTTGAGAATATCAGTTATACGGTTAATTCATAATTAAAAAGACTATCAACTACAACATGATTCATTCAAAGATTTATCAAAATTAGACTGTAAGTTCGTTAACTTTTTTTCCCCTTTTAAGGGAGGTGGGAGGTTTGAATAATAATCCCTTCACAATAAACATGCATTCATTAATACTGAGATTTAACAAGATAAGAAAGACTTTAAGCTTGTATGTAATATATATTTATTTAAATATAAGTCTTCAGGGTTAGGGTTAGTCTTCCATACCATAATATCCAATGCCTTCAATCTTTACTGACGCTTTGCTGTATTTAAAGTTTTAACTGTCCCATTCATTTTTAGAGAAAATGGTGCTATATATATATATTCACTTTCATTCTTCACAATCTTTCAGATATCTGCAGGAAAACAGAATAACCACAACAAAGAACGGCACCTTCAATGGCCTGACGGCATTACGAACTTTGTAAGTTTTTTTTTAAGAGTTCCACACCATATAAATTTTTTTTCGAGTATAAGTCAGTGAAATGGGTATTTACAATATTGCGCGTGCTGTGTGATTGAAAATTCAAGTTTCAATTAAAATTTTAATTTATGCCATTTATTATTTCACAGTTTAGTTTGATGATTTTTATTGCATAACTTACTTGAGATATTCTGGGAAAAAGAAATCCCTTTAGTTGCTGCTGCAAATATCTGATCGACACACAGGGGCTCTTTTTTCTTCGGGCTGCCTGAAAGACTCTTTCTCGGAAGGAAAGAACCGATTTCATTCTTACGTTGGAAACTCCTTATTCGAATGCTTACAAAATGTGATTACGTATTCCTATACCCAGTAAATAAACATTATTATCACACTATTTATCTTATAACAATATCTTATAACAATGTCTTCATAAATGGCAACACATGCACATAGCATCTGTGCAGGACGGAATTTTTACCGTGATGCACCACAAAAAGAGGGTCTATATATTTACTTTATTAGTTGAAAGTATATCTTACCCCTCCATATTCTGCGTGCATGTGTAAGCAACTACATTATTTTTTGATTAACGCTAGAATACAACATACCTGTACAAATAAGGTATTTGTTGAGATACCGCATTAAATAATACAATGGCCTGCTTCAATGTCTCCTCAGTAATTTTTGTCGGTGTTCGATTTATTCTATTCTCCACAGCGCAAGTCAGGTTATGTTGCAGAATGCGTATAGCAACTGCTTATTTAAAATATGAATTGTATCCTAACTGATGATTGTGTGTTGTATCCTCACTTGTGATTGTGTGTTGTATCCTTACTGGTTTTGTGTATTGTATCCTTACTGGTGATTGTGTGTTGTATCCCAAATAGTGATTGTGTATTGTATCCTTACTTGTGTTGTGTGTTGTATCCTTAAATGTGATTGTGTGTTGTATCCTTACTGGTGTTAGTTTATTGCATTCTTATCCTTACTGGTGTTGTGTGTTATATCCTTACTGGTATTGTGTGCTGTATCCTTGCTGGTGATCGAGTGTTGTATCCTAACACTACTGGACGAAAAAAGTGCTGAGAATCTCAAATTTTACTGATAATGTTTGATAATTACAGATACGGTGCTGTTCTTGCTGATAATTACTGATATTTACTGTTATTATTACTGTTGTTGCTGATAATTTTAGCTGTTGCTGATAAATACTGATAATTACTGTCGTCCTTTACTGTGGAGTCTGATAAATGCTGATGAATACTGTTGAGGTACTGTCGCTGCTGAGAATTACTGATAATTACTGTTGAGGTACTGTCGATGCTGAGATTTACTGATAATTACTATGGTCATTGTTTTTAACCTTGGAATGGATTAAAATAGCATGAGAAATGATTATTTGTTTTTTTAAAAAGTATTCTAATAAATTCATTACAGTCAATTACAAAATAAATTATTCTAAATAAAAAAAGTCACGTTTTATTAATTTGTTTTCAGTTTTCAGCTATTAATTTCATTATAATTATTTTTAGACCATAATGTTAACATAAGCTTTCATAAATGTTTATGTTTTTTCTTTGAATTTCTCCTTACACGTAGATGACATTATCTGAGGAAAATTATTTTATTGTATTTGCAGTGGTTTTTCTTCCCAAGTACTTTTTTAAAAGTTTAATATTTGTTCATAAAGGTTAAAAAAATCTCATGTCATATTTTTTCTCACATGTCTGTGTACTGTCATCAAAAGCTTTTTGTGGGTATCTTTGATACTTCAATACAGTCAATGGTTGTAAATATTAATTTATTATACCGTGTGGAGAACTGAAAATGCATGAGCACATTAAGTTGAAAACACCACCCTTTCCATTTACTTTTAAATTAAGCTCTCATTTTAACAAGACAGTATTAAATATTTGTCATAAAATCTAGCTTAAAGCGTACACGTTGTTATTTTATAGAAGAATGTGACAGGGTTAAATAATTAAATTGAAGCATCTTTAATTATTTTTTATATATATTATGTAGACAGCGCGCTCTAGTTCTCCGATGTCCTCCCTGCGAATTTTATATCATTGTGTCGCTTTCTAGCTTTCTTTCTCTCTCTCTCTCTCTCTCTCTCTCTCTCTTTTAGATTATTTGTTAAGGCTTAAGTATTGCACACTACATGACATAAATCTTATGCAGTGTGATTTTCAGTCAATGAAATATATACATCTTTCTTTAGGCTAATTCTTTTTTTTATTGTATAGTTTTAAGTCTATGGGCATATGGCTTCGAATATTATGCGCCACTCCTTAAACATGTTATATGCGGTCAGTCAGTTAAAAAACAAAAAAAAATAAATCATAACTTGAATTAACTGTTTCCATTAATGCACACTTTGTGCTTGTTGTTCTGGAACATACATGTCAACCATGTGTAAAAGTTCTACTTTCGTTTTAGAATTGGGTCAATTATTAGTACATTCTGCCATAGGGATACCGTTACGGCCTGCGTTTTTGTTTAATTAGAATTTTGTGAGATTATATTTTTTTTAATTCCATTTTTGTCCGAGACCTTTGTATAAACGAACAGTACAGACTTGGTGTTTATTTATATGATTTTACTTGATTGTAGCACAAAAAGGAGGGGCTTAAATACTGTCTACAATTAAGTGATAGCCGATAGGGCATGGTCTGTTCTTTAGTTGTGTATTTTAAAAGTCATGCAAGTTATGATATTATACTTATCGAATTTTTTTATAATTATGCATGAATAAAATTATTTTAGAGAATCAATTGCAATGAACCATACAAAATTCAGAGCTGAAGTAATTATAACTTTATTCATGAGTGCGATACACAACGTCATGTTTCTGACATTCAAAATCCATACATTTAAGGTTTTTTTTCTCGGATAAAGCGAAGTGGAGTTTCCCTGCATCTGAATTGTGTACAATTAATGCTAATATTATTTTAAAAAAGTGCTTCACTAAGCAATCTTTCTCTTTATATCTATATGATTGTATATTTTGCACACATTTTTTTAATTAAAAAGTGAAGTCAATTTCTCGTCTACGTATTTACCGGTCCCAAACCATCGTTAGCAGAGATTCAGAATTGAAAATACATGTGACCACCTCCCCCGGGATATACTTTTATCTTATAAACAAAATATACTCCCCGGCCTAAATTCCCTTACTTCGCATTTATAGCAACCTACAAAAATTTTGTTTAGTTTCTTACTCACGCATGCCTTTTAGACCTACTGTTATGCATAAAATCACCTACATTTTATATGTTTTGATGGTCTATGTATTCTAATGTAAAATGGTTAAAAGATTCAATTAAATGATTGGTTGATTGATTGAAGAAATATGCGTAAATCTAAAACATGAAATTAAATACTGAAGAAAGATAGATCTTTGAGAATTGAATTAATAATTAAGATATTATTAAGTCTGTACTACGTACATGATGTACATGTATATATCTTTTTTTTTATTATTATAGTACCAAAGTGTTCTATTCTAAATATTTTTTCTATCAATTTTATTCGTCATCAAATTCAATATTACGGATTTTTTTTTTCGTGCGACCATAAAGTTTAAGATTGTTCCAAAGTAGCGAGTACATGCACAGTGTAGGTAGTTTGTTTATTGATAACACCGGTAGCCACAGACAAAGAACAATAGGTAATTAGTGCCCATTGTTACGCTGACCACTACAATTTGCATGGAATATAAGTTGTATCCCGTTCTACCCGGGGTTGAAGACATGTACACAATACAGCCAAATCACAGGTCGATCACCGATTTCTGATCAATTGAAATCAATTTAAAGGTGTTTTCCTTTCAACTTTTTACCAAGCAAAATTAAAATCGATCAATTTGATCATATACTAAAAGTAACATATTAAATTAAGTCTCATTTCAGTTCTTATTTTCCATTCCATAAAATAAAAAAAAAAATTGAGATTTCAAAACTGATTAAATAAAAAATGATTTTGTATTTAAATTTTAAGAGACAAACTAAACACATGTACCTTTGCACTAGGGATTCTTAACCTCTAATTTTTAATCAGCTCGCCCCATTTGCCGGTTGCACATGCATACAGTGTGTACTTGTACATATGTACATGTGGAGGAGTTTAATTCTTGGACGATCTACAAACTTCTACGTACATAACATTAAAATAAATGAATAAATAAATAAATTATTAATTAAAATCAGTGCCCACAGATTGAACATAATTCAAACCTGTTTTCACCTCTTGGTTACTTTTTAAAAGGGATAAAATTTCTAATTTTCGAGCAAAACTTCAAATATTTTGACAAAAAGAGACCAGAAAACTGAACATTTAACAAGATAAATATAATTGTTTTCGAGAAAAAAAGGCCTTCAAAAACAAAATGTTGTCCAAACTCGACCAGTTGACCTAGTGAAAACGGAAAAAAATCCAACTTTTCGAACCTGCAGAAACTTTTTTTATCCTAATTTTTTTCCATCCATTAAGAACTTTTTTCTTATTATTGAAAAAAAAGATCACCGATCTCCCTACATAATTTTCATGGAGTCGGGAAAGGCGGCGATGGATCTTTTTTAAGATAGCATAATTTTCTTTTTATTTACAGTTTATTTTTTCAAGAAGATCTTATGCAAAAGTAAAATTCCATTTTTTTTTCTTCATTTAATTTTTTTTTATTAATTCTATTTCTATATATTCATTCTATTAATAATTCATTTGATTATTGTCAAAATTTTTACAAAGGTTATAGTAGAAATTGAGATCAGCATATATACATACGTCATGTAACTTTGTCACAAGCAGAACATTTAAAGAAATATGAAAATTTTGTCATGATAATTCAAGTAAAAGAAAGTAATAATTGAAGGTTTTTATAGCCCTCTGTTTTATTTTAAACCAATTTCCAGGTTAAAAACAATGACCACAGTAATTATCAGTAAATCTCAGCATCGACAGTACCTCAACAGTAATTATCAGCAATTCTAAGCAACGAC